TGAAAACTCACTTTCCATGAAATAAGACCATACAATAGGTTTCAGCTATTCCAAAATGATCAGAGCACATTTAATCACCTCTACTCCATTATATTCTGCGGGTAGATGGGATAAAAAATGTGTTCTAATCATCTCTTTCAGCTACTTTATCTTCGAGAATACACATAGATTGAATACCTTTGACTTTTTGAATTCAGAACAATTTTCGAAAGTGCTATCCAAGAAGAAGGTTGTGAAACAAAAAGCAAAAAGCGTCTGTACATGACTCATCTGCCCCCGTTACACTCCGCCCCTTTCTATCTCTTTTCTTCTGTACACTGTTATTTTATCTTTTATTAAAAACGGTTGGGTTGTCTCATATTTGTTAGGTTTGAATGTCTTCTTATTAATTTTTGTGTTTTTCTCTCATACTAGCTACTAAACAACTTATATTTTCTCTCATTAGAGAAATCGGAAATCTGAGAATGGTAAGTTTGGGTCAATTTTCTTTGTCACGAGTAGAAAATACAAAACTTTTTTCTATATTTTTTGGCTCCGCCCACTTCTGCAATTTTGCCGCACACGGTTTTCAGAGATTTATCGAAAACGTGTATGATTTCTGTTATTCTATGCAGTTGACACGATCAGAGTTAAAGGCGTATCTCTACTATATAACACAAAAATGGATAGTAGAGGTATACCCATTAGCTCTGATTATGCGCAACAACAAGTTTCTTTTGTAGGGGGTACAGTAAGTTCTAGAACAATTTTGCTATTACTTCGGAAGAGCTTTACCGAAGCATTCGCAATTTCAGAACCCGTATATCTATGAGATGAATTGGATTCTGAAGGCCTGAATGACTGTATATTTTCAGATGGCTGACAAGAAAATGTTTTTTCACATGAGTTAGGAATTCTCTATAAAATCGTGGTCTAAAAGTAGATGCTCCTGAGAGTATATTCTAAAATTTCCAGCCCTCACTGGAGCCTGAGAGTTTCGAAATCATCATCTGAGTATTTTAGCAATCCCAAAAACCTCATTTTAGAAAAAGGCTTTTTTTGGGGTTTGTGGAACTGGAGGCTATGCTTAACCTTTGCTCCTGGGTCACAAGAACCCAGAAAAAGTTTACAGAAAATTCTCAAAGCATAAGTCAAGTCACACCCCTTGTGAGAACGAAACGAACTTCTTTCTTTCAATCAAAACCCAAACGTTTAGAGAATTTTCAATAAATTTATCCTTATCTTACAAAATAAATGGAGGAGAATGTTTATGAAGAAATAGAGATCTGCGATAAGAAGAGACAGAGAGAAAAAAAGATTACAATAGAAAAAATCAAAGGTAAGCTGAACGATATGAGAGACAGAAACGGAAGAGAGAAAATAAATATAAAGGATATTATGCATAACCATATAAATCTATCTTTGAGTATATATTTTGTGTTTTTGAAAGTGAAAGAAAATTAGAGAATTAGCAATTAGCACAGTAGGAAGTGGAGGCATTCGGGTCTCCGTCAAGGCTTACACCCCGACATTCTGAGAGTGGAAGTGATGATGTTTCGACTGATTGTTGGATTCTTTGCATGACAAGGTCCAGAAGACAGTCTACTGATTTCTCGACATTCGTGGATGTGCACGCAGATGTCTCGAAGTACGGTAGGCTGGAATGATAGAGGAGGTGGTCAAGTGTCGTTGAAATTAGCCAAAAATGCACAGAATTTCTTGGAATCCGAAATTCAAAACCAAAAACGTTAGTTACAATGCCATGCACGCAACAATTAAAATGTACAGTTTTTCTGTTTCCAACAAGATTTTGTTTTTTAAAATCCCAAATTTCTTGTGATTAACTCTTAATTTTTTGTTTTTTTTTGTATATTTTTTTGTTTTCCCCCTTGAAAGTAGCTCCATAGTTTTCTCAAAAAAGTTTTCCTCGCATTTTTCATCGCAAGATTTATTTATATTTCTTTTCTGCATTCCATCATAATTTATGTGAGAAACATGGCTGAATAACTAAATATTTTTCTTTATTTTTCTCATTTTTTATGAAACTTTCGGGGCTTTTGAAAAATACAAAACTAATCGATTGTATCAAAAGTTTTTATATAAAAAAAATCTTTCTGAAAGTTCCAAAGTGGCTTTGGAGCGACAGTTTGAAGAGGCTGAAGGCACAAACTACAAACGTGCCTCTACAAAATGTCTGCCGCTCTGGCGCGTCAGCTTGTAGAGGTTAAGGGCACAAACTACAATCTTACCTCTACAAAATGCCTGCCGCCCTGACTCGACAGTTTGTAGAGGCTATGGGCACAAACTACAGTCTTGCCTCTACAAACTGCCTGCCGCTCTGACGCGACAGTTTGTAGAGGTTAAGGGCACAAAATACAATCTTACCTCTACAAAATGCCTGCCGCCCTGCAGTTTGTTGTTGCTTTTTTGTCTTAACCTTTCATTCCAGTCCCCCTCACCGAATATTCTTTGATCTACCCCTCACTCCTTACCCCAACTGATCAGCCAACTGCTTAGCACGAGCCGTGCTGACTTGCCGCCGATTCTCCAAATCTGCCTTGTTTCCGCAGATGATAATGTCCGGTTGCTCACAATAGGCATGCACTTTCAACTGTGACAACCAGTCTCTGATATTCAAGAATGACTGTTCATTGGTGATGTCGAAGATGAGAATGAATCCCATTGCGTCTCGGAAAAACGCTGTGGTTAGGGAACGGAATCTGAAAAGTTTAGGATAAATAGTAATTATTTGGGAGAAATCTAGATAGGTAAGTTTTTTTTGTTTATGGTCGTTGGGTTTTTGATGTTTTCATAACCAACTTGACTACTATCTAGGGTAATCTAATTAAAGGTTTGTGTTTTGTTTTCTGATTTTTGTGTCAAAGCCCAAAAATATTGTTTTAGACCGCCTTGATTTGTTTGGCTCAAAAAATCATTTTCCAGAATTTTGTCCTAAAAACTAACCGAGATACGGTATCAAATACACAAAAATCGTTCAGAACCTTGACGTCCTGATTTCAAAAACGTCATTCTTCGTACCTTTTATCCAGAAGGTTTCAAAATCTACAGTAATCCATGGATTTTGTAGTTTGTGTCTGGTCATAGAGTGAATTCCGTCGAAAACAATAAATAGAAAGAGTCTAGACGATGATAATAGTGATTTGTACTCTTGTACTTGTGGAATAAATGTATCCCAGGAGAGAGAAAGAGTGTCTAGATGTCTATTTTGGTTTTGAAATCAGAGAATGAACTTTGCTCACTACCGTAACCTAGGTGCGGGGTTTTCACGAAAAAGGTCTCGACACGAATTCATGTTTTCTCTTAACATCTTAATTTTTTTCTTAAATCCCTGTGCCTTCTAGGCTCCGCGAAATTTCGAAAATCAGGCTTGAGTTTTTCAAATTTTTGACCCTACTTCGATCCATTTTCTGGAAAACGGAAACATATTGTAGAGTCAAGTTTGTAGTTTATACCCTTGGCCTCTACAAACTGTCTCCCAAGAGGCAGTCGGCAGGCGTTTTGTAGAGGTTACGGCTACAAACTACAATATTGCCTCTACAATCAGTCGCGCCAGGGCGGCAGGCATTTTGCAGAGGCAATTTTGTAGTTTGTACCCTTAGCCTCTACAAAACTACAAACTTTTTTCTGAGAAAAAATTTTTTACCGAAAATATTTGAAACTTTATTTTTTTCTAAATTTCCAGAAAATCAATGGAAATCGAATCAAAAAATTTGAAAAATTCAATCTCACGGAGCTGTTTTTGAGCTGTTTATTCTAGGTTTCAGATCACGGCTACCGTAACCCAAACGCCTTTCAATTACCGTACCTCTCCTGTCCGGCAGTATCCCACAACTGCAATAGAACCCTCTGACCACGCCCACCGAATCCGCCACGCGAACTCTTGTACACCACCTTCTTCTCCTTGAAATCAATTCCCACTGTCGAAATGAACTGTCCGGTGAACGTGTTGTCAGTGTAGCGATGCTAAAAACCTTCAATAAAAAGGCACCTTCATTTGGAAAAAGAGCTCACCAAAAACGACGTTTTTCCTACACCCGAGTCGCCTAGTGCCAGAAATTTGATGAGATAGTCGTAGTCGCCCATCCTGAATCAAAATTAATTAGTGTCAGTTTTTAGAAAAAGTTATATTCTGAGCAATAGCAGTCAACTGCTCATTAGAAAAAAAAGTAAAAAGTGAAGAAAACATAGGCCACGCCCTCCTTCAATTCAATTTGTCAAGGGCCCGCGCGTTGTGCAGCACACACGCTAATTCAATTCATTTAGTTAAGGGGAAAACTAGAGAGATGAGGAATAGTATAGGAAGAAAAGATACGCAGAGAATTTTTTTTTCAAAAAATGAAACTTCAATAAAAGAGCATATAGAAAAAATAAGACATACTTGGAAAATATGCCGGCCCGGATTGGAATTTTTGAAAATTTTTCATCAATTTTTTTTGCAAAACTCTTCCAAAAAGGTTCATCTTTCACACAAAAGTATCAAAAACATCAACATTTGTCACTTCAACCCAAAATTGCATCATAAAGCAGCATTTTTCCATAAAAAATCGCCTATTGAAAAATCAGTTCTGAAAACCCTGAAAAAAAAAAAAAAAACAAGTATGAAATAAGGAAAACTGAGCAAAACGAAAATCTAGGTTCAGCTCATTTAGAGGGGGCGGAGCTAGATACGGGAAAAAGGGTTGGGTCAAAAATTCTTGGAGTGTTTAGAATTGGAAAATAGCGGCCCAAGACGGACCTGGCCGGAAGTAAATTTTTCCAAGATTTTTCCGAAAAAATGTCAAAACTACTCTCAAAACCATTGGAAAAAAAGCAATGTTCATTATTTCGACCCGAAATATCGTCTCTACTAAGTACCAAAAAAACAACGCCTATCCGAAATCTTGATCTGGAAGCCCGGGCCGGGCCGATGAATCTTTTCAAATGGCCCGGTTCGTTTCAAGTAGGAGAAAACGGTTCAAAAAAGAAGAAATATCGTTTCGAAAAAAAAAAACAAAAACTTCTAACCCCCCGAGGAATCGAACCCGGGACCCTTCTCTCCAAAGCCAAAACTCTAACCGACTGAGCCATACTGGCAGGTGCAAAATACGGTCAAGAGGCGTTACAAGTAAGCGGTGCTGCGTGACGAAGGCACGTCAGCTGGAACGAACATTTCAGCATGCTCAAAATCAGTTGAAGCATGATAATGCTCCACGGATGACTGCCCTTCTGTTACAGGGAGATATAAAAAAAAGTCAAAAACGACGGTGTAAAGCGAAGAGTGACGACTACTAGTAGTCTCCTTTTCCGCCCCGTGAGCTTCTTCTTTTGCTCATACGGAGCCCCCGCTGAGGAGGAGAGAGCACACACGTTATCGATTCTTTCCTCGTCGCCAAAAAAGGCAGAGAGCCACCGCCCACCGCCCTTAGGAGACTCGGGCGTCTCTCCTCCATTTCTTGATTATTTAGTTGTATTTCTTCTCGTTTTTCTCTAACACTATCTCACTTCTCCACGCTATTTTTTCGGAGTTTCTAGCTAGAAAAAGAGAGAGTGGGAGGTTTCAGAGAAATCAGAGGAAAAGTGGGTTGGTGGGGTGGAGGAAATTTTCGAAATGGAGAGCTGTGGAGAAAGGCGAAAAGGCGAGAGGAAAAAAAATTCCCATCCCAGGGAATAATTTATTTCCCTTCGCTCCTCACTCTCAAACGAATTGGTTTTGGAGCGCAAAAAGCACGGTGTGTGAGCTGAGAGCTCCGGTCAATGTTTTGACATATAAAGCCAAATTAGGGGGTTTGTTGGTGGGAGCAGAAAACAACGGGGAAATGGATTTTACTTATTATTACTGAAAAACAAATGGGGTCTCTCTTTTGCAAAAACGGACACATATAAATAAAACCGGAGAGCGGGGAAAACTATAAAAATGACGAGCAGTGATAAGGAGAGAGGGCGAAAAGAAACAAAAAAAGACCATGTGAAAACAATAAAACATTTGAATTTTGAGGGAGGAAATGGAAAAAAAAAACTGGGAAAATAGAATAGAGAAAAACCGAATTAATTAACCAAAACACAGGAAATTAGACAAAAAACCAAAAAAAACGAATTAATTAAGCGCCTTCAACTGAGCGATCGCCGCAGTGATATTCTCAATTTCCTTCTCCAACGACGCCTTCTTCTCCTGATCACGAAGACGAATTCCGGAGGGAATCTTTTCGTAGTTGGCCGTCGACTGGATATCCGAGATCTTTTTCACCGAAATTTGGTTCTTTTGCAACTTGGCTCCGAGCTTTTCGATCTGGAAAATGGGGAAATGTTAGGAGGTGTCACATCATTTTCCCCCCATTTTCTGAAGCGAAGACTTGACTAAAATCACACGTGAAAAATGCCATTTTCGTCATTCTAGTGGGAAAAACAACGTATTTTTGATGCAAATAAGTGAAATCTAGGTCAATTTTTCAAGTAGAAATGGCAAATTTGACATGATTGAGTGCATAAAATCTAGCGTTTTCTGGGTAATTTTTAGGTACAAAATGCCATTTTCGACAAGAAATTTATCATTCCACGTCAAAAATAATGTATTTTTTGCGTAAAAATCTGAATGACGTGTGTTCGTTCGACACGTGGGAAACTGAAAAATTAAATGAGATTCCACATCATTTTTCCAATTTTCACGTAAAACTCCACACAGACAAATTTTGCGAATTCTCACCTCTTTGGCCGTATCGATAATCCCAGTCAGGTTAATATAGACTTGACATCTGCCTCCACAAGCAATGTGTGCCGACCCCTTCTCGATCTTGTCCTTCTCGGTCTGTCCGAGAATTGTGACCTGTAATAGAAGGGTGTTTCTTTTCCTAGTTGCCAATAAAACTTACGCTCTTGCTCCATGTTAAGGTGGTCAACAAATCGGTGAGATCGTTGAGAATCGCCTGATCTTCGGCAGTTTCGGCGAGAATTTGGACTGTAAATTACTTTTTCGTTTTTTAAATCAATTCATCTCATCAGACCAGGCCCACCCAACCCTTCCCTGCTTCACTCAACCCCACCCATTGCTCACTTGTAGTTTTAGTCCTAGCCGTCAAATCATAGTCGGCTCTCAGACTTCTGACTTTTCCAACGATATCTCTGGCGAATTCGAAAGCGGCCTCCAACTTCTCATCCTGGTACTTGGCGTACTTCTCCGTCAACGGGTACTGGGCAACAATGATTGATGGTGACGAGTAGTCGGCATCCGGCAGACGAGGGATTCGTTGCCACAGCTCCTCCGAAATGAACGGCATCATTGGAGAGATGAGTCGGAGTCCCGTGTCAACGCACAGATGTAAAACGGAGATGGCGATCTGTCTCAACTCTGCATTGTCACCATAGAGAACTGGCTTGATGGCCTCAATGTAGACGTCACAGAAGTCGTATAGCCAGAAATTATAAGTGGCTGTAGTGGCTTGAGTGAAGCTGTAGATTTTCAATGCCTCATTCGTCTCCTTGACAGTCTTGGCGAGTTTCGAAAGAATCCATTTGTCGGTGGGCGTGGCCTTCGAGAGATCAATGTTGAAAGTGGGTTTCTGGTCGGTTTTCTCAGCGAATTGATTCAAAGTGAAACGGACGGCCTGCCAGATCTTATTACAGAAGAATCGATATCCCTGAACACGAAGAACATCCAAATTGATATCTCTCCCTTGGGAGGTGTAATTCAGAAGAGCGAAACGAAGAGCGTCGACTCCACACTCTGGAATTCCATCCGGATAGTCTTGTGCCTGCCCGGCCTTCGCGACGCAAATTTCCTTCTCATCGAGATTTCCGGAGAGAAGTTGAGCTTGAAGTCCTTCTAAAGTGATACCACGGATGACGTCGAGTGGATCAATGACATTTCCCAATGATTTTGACATTTTGCGTCCGTGAGCATCACGAATCATTGCGTGGAGGAGGATTTCCTGGAATAATGGCATTTATTGGCTATTGAGGAAAGAGCTTCTAAATGCGCTATTTGAGCTTAAAGGAGGACTGAAGTCCCAATTTTTTCTTTTTGATTCCGGTAAATTAGGACATGCTGAACACTTTTTCCTCTTGACGCAAATGTCAAAAATCGCTTTGAAACGAGATATACCGCTCTGAAAACATGAAATCCCTTTCTGTGGCCGAAGTTTCTCCGTTACGAGGCCATACGTGGAATTGATTTTCACTGTTTTTTCCACTGGTTAAATATCTGCCAATCATCTGAGCAAACTGGCAAGGCAACATGACTAATGTCCCGACTTTAGGCTCTCCTGCTACTCATATCCCTGGCCCTGAACGACCGAATCGATCTGTCGTAACCAGCAGCCAGTGAATTCGTGTCGAGTCGGCGAGTAGTCTACGTCAAGACCGGCAGAATTGCATCCCTGATGTGACTGAGTGGGATGTTCCATGTATC